GGAGAGAGGGTAGCGTACACGTACACACATAGAGAGAGAGGGGGGAGAGAGGGTGCGTAGTTCTACGTACACTAACATAGAGAGAGGAGAGAGAGGATGCGTATACGTAACACTAACATAGAGAGAGGGATATCTGTAGCTACGTACAGCGTACAGAGAGAGAGAGAGAGAGAGATGCCCATGTACTACGTAACACTACATAGAGAAGAAAGAAAGATGCTGAACTTCCGTACACTACATAGAGAAGAGAAGAGATCTGTACACGTACACGTCTTACATAGAGAGGGAAGAGAGATGCTGTACTAACGTACACTACAATACGAGAGGAGAGAGGGTCTGCTGTAACTACGTACACTACATAGAGAGAGAGAGAGAGACGAGAGGAGAGAAGAGAGAGAGAGAGAGAAGATGCTGAGCTACTACACTAATAGAGGGAGAGAGGGATGCTGTACTACGTACACTACATAGAGAGAGAGAGAGAGAGAGAGAGAGAGAGAGAGAGAGAGAGAGAGAGAGAGAGAGAGAGAGAGAGAGAGAGAGAGAGGGACTGAGGGATGCTGTACTACGTACACTACATAGAGAGAGGGAGAGAGGGATGCTGTACTACGTACACTACATAGCCCGCTCTTGTTACTCGTGTCCGCATAGTCTTGAAAAACGCGTTATCATGTATTCCTTATCACGGGATACTCTCAAGTAAATATTATTGACCAATAGCACTAAAACACGAATTATGGTCAATCCTATGCACGCTAGCAAGGTCATGGGGTGACGCTATTACAACAAACGGTACAAATATACAAAATTTGGTCTCAACAAATGTTATAAATGAACTAATTATTAATTAATAATAAAACGTTGTCAAATTAATTAAAGATAAGGTAAATGAAATAAAATCTCAATACACAGCCAGTCCATATAATCCAAATTACATTGAAATGTGCCCTACCAAAGACTTACATTTTCGAATTAGCGATCAGTTATTTTTTGAAACGTTACTAGTGCAGATTAGGGGCCTAATCATATCATACTCCGCTAAAAGAAAACGTGAAAATATTCATCTAGAATCAGAACTAGAAAAACAAATCGAAGAATTCGAAAATTTAATAAAACAAGAACCACATAACTACAACAAATATATTCTAAAATTAGAAGAATTTAATGTAGCGCTCGAAAATTTAAGAAATGAAAAGATAAAAGGAACTATAATAAGATCCAGAGCAAGATGGTACGAATTTGGGGAAAAATCATTAAGTTACTTTTGTAACCTAGAAAACAGAAATTACATAAATAAATCTATCCAGGAGCTAGAACTAGAAAATGATGAAACACTTTCACAATTGAAAGATATTATGGACACACACAAAAACTTTTACAAAACATTATACACAAAAAAGACAAAACCGAATATCTCGAACACTCATTAACAGACCTTATTGAACTCAATACAACGAAGCAGCTGTCAGATGAGGGCAAAGAGGCTAGGGAAGGAATAATTACTTACGATGAGTTACTGTTTGCACTAAAAAGAGCTAAAAATAATAAAAGCCCAGGTATGGATGGTTATACCATAGAATTATATAAATTCTTCTGGATCGATATAGGTCAGTTTCTGCTCCGCTCCATAAACGATGCATATGCTAAAAACAATCTTTCAATAACACAGCAACAGGGTATCATAACATGTATTCCAAAACCAGGTAAACCTAGGAAAAAACTAAAAAACTGGAGACCCATTTCACTTCTAAATGCCTCTTATAAACTTGCATCATCATGTATTGCAGAACGCATAAAAACAACTCTCGAGAATTTAATTCATGAAGATCAAATAGGTTTATACAAGGAAGATTTATAGGTGAAAATACAAGACTTATATATGACATTATGTACGAAACCGAAAGACAAAACATTCCAGGACTCCTAATAATTATAGATTTCGAAAAAGCATTTGATACAGTGTCATGAACTTTTATAGAAAAGGTAGGCTAGATGCATTTAATTTTGGTGAATCAATCAATAAATGGATAAATATATTTTACAAAGATGCAATGTCTACTATAATCCAAAATAGCAACTTTACAGAATTCTTTAATCTCGGCTAGGGGTGTAGACAGGGAGACAAGCTCTCGTCTTATATTTTTATTCTATGTGTAGAAATACTGGCAATGGCTATCCGAAACAACCCTTAAATTAAGGGTATCAAAATAGGAGATACTGAACACACCCTTACACAATTTGCAGATGATACAACACTTCTTAGAGGAACGAAAATACAATTTATGAAGTTAAAAACACATTCCACTGGTTCTACCCAATATCTGGCTTAAAAATCAATTATGATAAGACAAACTTAGTATGGATAGGCTCAATGAAAGAATCTGACAAACGCTTTTGCAGAGAAAATAATATCAAATGGATACAAAACGACAGCTTCACCATTCTAGGAATAACCTTTAATACAAATATGAATAAAATGGAAGAAGAAAATTTTTTACCAAAA